TCAGAAATTTTGAATTTTTAAAAATGTATTTTTCCGAACAACAAATAGAGAAAACAATTAATTTATCACATAAGTATGCAACAATGAATCTTTCGTACAAAGAAACAAACTAAATTATATATCTTCACATCAATTCTTTTTTATGAATTTAAAAATAATATTGAAAGCTATTTTAATATTAAATAATAATTAAAATTTTAGGAAAAACATTTTGGAAATTTAAAATAGGTTTTTGTATACTATTTTTTAGAGTCGAATAAAATTCTTAAACCTCCAACTGAAAACATAGTTTCTTGCTATAAGTGCTTTTACATAGATTATCATTGCACGGCCAGACGTAGTCAGGTAGCGGTATAATTTATTCGTGATTCTTGTGTCGACAACCGACAAATTGCGAGATTATATAGTGTATGTTCAATTTAGCCGTTTGTCATATAGATGCAAGAACTCCCTTACTCGTTTATTCCCGTGAGGCCATTTCCTTTTATCCCGCTTTGTATTTCCGCTGTAGTTTCAAGTGTGTCTAAATTTATCCAAGACTTCATTCGCACTCTCAGTGACGCGATTTCGATTCATTCACCTCGTTCCAACATCGAATTAATCCCTTGAGAAAAGAGCATTGAGAAAAACGTAAAAATGTTAGAAAACTTCGAGACTCTAAAAATCTTTCTAATACTGATGTTCTTCACTTGCATTCGCACATAAAATATTTTATGAGATTTAATAAAATAATTCATTTAATATTCACTTTAGATATAATCTTTAAATCTCATGCTCCACTCTTTTCTAAATACTTTATTCAATTTTTTATCGATTTATTAAAAATCGAGATTGAAAGAGTTCGCTAATTATATGAAAAATTAGGTCTAGGTGAAATGTCATAGTAATCACGTATACATATATGTAGATAATAGCTTATAACGTGATAGACAAAAAATGTCATAGACATAAGGCTTAATAAATGGATAGTTTTTGAATTATAAAATTTATAAAAATACTGCGGTATTTTACATTTACAAAACTCATGATAGAATTTTCGGTGGAATTAACATCACGTCGATGATTATATACGAAACACTCGATGAATGCCATACAAGGATTAAGTCTCACATGAAAGAAGATGATCATATTGAGTCCATCATCTTTAGTTTATGCAAAAATATCACGTTTAATTGACTCAAGCATACGCTCTAACTATTAATTTTAGTGAGACATAAGTAGTGCAGTGAAGTGGTAAGTGGCCGAGTGATTCGAAGAAACTGGTAGACGTGATGGGCGCTTCTAATAAGAGAAAAGTTGATATCCATTGCCGAGTCTAACAATCTAGAAAATGGGATCCAGCCCCTCGAGCAAAAAATTAATCAGTTAGATCAAACACATTGAGACGTTAGTAATAAAAGCAGAGAAATGAGCGCTCTGACCAGAGTAATACAACTTTTGAGCGTTCCAGAGACGAATCCAGAGCCAATCGATCGTTTCTTACCGCTAAGGGCCGAACCGTTTGCCGACAGACAGAATGTATCCTCAATTAACTGACAGCAATAGTAATTGCCAAACTGCACCATTGCAGAGTGCGTGACATTACGCGGTTGGCATCATCTCGTGCCTGGAGCACTTGGCGTGAGAATTACAGTGACCATGGTGAACACTTTATGCAGCAACATCTCAATAAGAGCTTACTATACATCGAAGATATGACACCATCGTCGAACTACAATTCTATCGAAAGGGTTTTGTGAAAAGTTCATTAGTCTGATAATTTCAAGCACTTTCGAAGCAATGCGACGCACCGTTCTGCGACTACGATTTGTTCACTTTAAATTAAATCAATGACGACGGTATATTAGCTTCCTCGTCGTTGGATTTTTTACATGAAAAGAACGATTTTATTCAAGTATCTAAAAATTTAGCTAGATATATAATTCAGATAGAGCTAAAAATTTTTAGATACTTTAGAAAAATCGTTCTTTTTTTGTATATCCTTGAAATATACAAAGCTGAAATACTGAGCCCTCCCACTATGTCATACCCAGAGGAAAGATCATCTAGAAAATATACAATTATCTGAATTATCTGTAGAGTAATCGATTAACTTTTAAAAATGAGTATCAAACACACTTCGTCAATTCGTCACCACTGCGAAATAAATACAGAGCGGATAGAAGAGTTGAATTTTTTATTGATATCTGTAAGATATGATTAGAATTAATCAAATGAGCTGAGATTAAAAAAAAGAAAGGTTCCTTTTATTATAAATATAATAATTCCATAAATAATTCCAAAGATCAATTTTTTATACGGATCGTATCACGAAAGATGTACGAAAAATTAATTAAATTATTAACTATACACAAAATGTGTTAATTGTGAAAGTAGGAATCAAATGAATTACGTTCATTTGGAATAAGGATACTTATTAACATTGCTCTTTTACTCGTATAATACCATCCAAAGTATAATCGAGACTTCTACGCAATCGAAAGAAAAATTTTATGTTAAATAAAAATGCGTTTTGTTCGTAATTATCGCGAAATAATTATAAATCTTGTTTTCTGTCGCATTTTGATTCCAAATGACTGTACGAAACATCTGTTCCGTAACATGATTGTCATCTCGATTCATTTATGAAGCTAATAATCCGCGAGCTAATAATCTGCACATACTGTGAGTATGCTTTCATACTTTATAAAGTGATGTTTCAAAATGTGTGATGTTTCATATTATCTAACATTTGTTTCCATTGCATTCAAAAAAGAAATGTGAAAAACACTCAAAGATATGGTTAACTACCTGTACGAGCATACCATCGGTATGCAAATGATTGCGCGCACATGAACATAAACATGCATCGCCCGTGAAAATTAACGTCGCGTGTCAACCGTTTAAATATTAACATATATTATGAAATAAATAAAATCATCACATTTTTAATATTCTTCGACGAATACACTTTATTGCACGATTTATACATATATTATTTCTTAGATTCGTTACGCAAATATTTCAATTATGTTACAATAAGCGATCATTAGTTTGTAATAACTTTTGTATTACGAAATTCGTGCAATATTTTTAATAAAAGATTGACGCATTACGAGCTTCTGTTACTTTTGAATTGTTCAATTCTATCATTCACATTTTATTCCTCATTTTTAATCCGGAAAAAATAATAGGTAAATATTCTAAAGTAATGCAAAAATATTTTTGTATTCGCTTCTAGTATAATTAACAGTAATGTAAATATTATAACTGACTGCATCTTCAAAAAGTCAATGTAAAACTGACGGTTATTGTACTTTATATGAGCTGAAAAATACATTAGAAAACATTGTTAAGCGAGCCAGATTTTCCTTTCACAGCAAAACTCCTAATTCTGATAAATCGGCGATGCCTTCCTGAGTATATATCTCCGGCATCTTTAAATCACAAAAGATTCACTTCGGCTTTTCGTCCAATGTCTCGTGTTTCCTTTCGCGATGCGCGTTGTATCGGAGATTTTATCTCGACGTTCATCAGCATCTTACCCTCTCCGTTCTCATTATCTGTACAGTGACGTCTTAATAGCGCGAATTTAGCGAGAATTTGGAGAGCTGTCCTCATAAGAGCGACTATCGATGGTAAACTCTGACGACGTGCGATAAAATGCTTTCTCCTCGCCATAAACGTCTCGTGTTATCATCGTTAGCGTCCTCATCCGTCGTTCCGCGTCATTATCCACCGCCCGATACTTTAAAGCACACCTGCTATAGGAAGCGAGATTCACCGTCGACTCAGATTATTCTCTTCCTACTCTCTCTCTATGCTCTCACTTAAAATCTTATCTTGCGGTTGGAATTAGAGCCTAAGTACTCTTTTCCGTCGTTTCTTACTGCTTACTGCAGGAGGTAATTTAATTTTTTTTTTTAAATTGTCGATAAATCATTGCTGTATTAAGCTAAAAATAATGATGTGTCTCTTTTGCTACATCAATTTTAAAAAATTATTCTTTATTAGCAATTTTTAAGAAGTTTAAAAATTTAAATCTTTTTTGGCTATTTTGAGGTAATGTTTGAGGTAAAAAGAAGTAATGAAATATAATTTTATCTATCGAATCTCGAAGTGAATTAGATGCGCTAGAGATATGTTTCATTCAGAAGACATGAGTCTACATATCGAACCTTTTCACTAGTGCGTTCAAGTTGCACCCAATTTAGTCGGTGAATGTCTCCACGTAATGGAAGGAAAAGACCTTCTCTGCGAAATGTCGAAGTTCAACTACCGCATCTACCCTATATATGTTGTGCACCAGATACGCATCTCCTTGTCATTGCGCCTAGCTCTTACCTACATGCATTGCACGATTCGATACTCATTAGCATATAATACAATTTCTTTGTGGTGCTTGTGGAAGTCTCATTTCATTTACTATTGATATCTCGGTTTTATTTGCGATTAAAAACGATAAACGTCTCGTTTAATAATAATATTTCTGGAATCTGTCTTTTATAATATTTGCTTAACTTTCACATAATATCCAATTTTAAATATTGAGATATTGCGAAACTAATTGCAAACTTATGAATTATTCTACATCATAGTTTAATTGGTTATAAGCAAAATTAAATCAACTAACAATCTATAATTCATATGTGTTATAATACAATGTACATCATATAAAATTATAAATAGAATTCTATCTTGAATTCTGACGTAAATTATAGAATATCTAAAGTGCGCTTAATTAATAATCCTAAAGTCAGATGATGAATTTAGATAATATAATCCAAAATAGTAACTTTAATTAAATCCCCTGCCCTCCAGTTTCACTGCAAGGAATTGATGCGGCTACTAAAATACTAATACCGGCGCGACGCAAGGTGCTCGAAGCATTCGAAACCGTATGTCGCCAGATGACTACCGCTTTTAATTAAATTTTTATTCACTGCCATAACTCGCATATTCAATAACTAACTTCGGTACAATGGAGTGAATTGTTTTACGTGAAACAATTTATTTTGCAGCTGGAGCCGCTCCTGAGGAAACTAACCAAAGGTCCAGTTCTGCACACAATCGCCACTCTCTCACGAAGGGTAAGTTCTATGAACACAACTAATTGCATTTAAGGCATTTTCGTTTGTTGTAATAGAATACTATAGTTTATTGAGCCGAAAGGATCGCCACATTGTATCTCAAAATAAACAATTGAATGATTTGCTGTTTTTAGCAACAAGCATAAATAAAAGCTCTAATTTAATCAATTCGTAATTTCTTAAATTTCCATATAAAATTATGTTAAAGATACCTTTTTTAAAAAAATGATATAATGCGGTGTTTTTTTTTGTGCTTTAAAATTTAATTTAATTTTTTCTCTTTTTTTTCTTGTCTATCTTATAATGTAACCTGACTGATTTTTGAAACTCTAAAGCGCCGGCTTGAGAACTTTTTATTACCTCGTAGCAAGTGTGATGTTCGATGTGATACTCTCACGGTGGCTTTTTGACATTTACACGGCGGATTTGAACGCGGTGCACTTTTTAATATCGCACTTCGTACCTCCTGACATTTCCGTGATGCTTGAAAGCACAGCTTGATCATTTATTTGTAATATAAATAGTGACACAGACGTATGTACATACAAATATATATACAGGTTTTTATTTGAGAAACTTGAAAGACATTTGACATTTTGAGCATGTACTTTTAAAACGCAAAGAGGTACCGAATTGCTCAAAGTGTTCTCTTACAATTAATTAGATGTAGTAAAAAGAAATCCATTATTTTTCCATTCAATTTCATGCAAAAATAATGGATTTCTTTTTACTACACCTAATATATATAAAAACGCTACATTTAACATAAATTATGTTAATTTGAATAGTAATAATATCAAATAATCTGCTTCACGTAATTCCTCAATTCGTTCATTTAAAAAGTGATTAAAATCATTTTGCAAAATTAGACGAGAATAATCAGAATTTGCCAAATATTTTGCGTACATGGAAAGAATGATTTTGTATGCCGAAATATTAAAGAAATTCGCTAAATACAGAAAATAATTTTTTTAGTCTATCAAAATAATTATAGAATGCTCGATCTGATCGTCTAAATTTTTTACAGTTGTTCATCGTGCTTCGAGTTTCTTACATTAAATATGATGGTTCAGTTAAATTTATTTTAATATTATTTTCTAGCTAAATTTTTAGATACTTCAACCAAATCGTTCTTTCTGTGTAAATTCAAAATCCTTGTCGAATTCTCGTAAGAATGTAGGTTGCTGCATCACCGAGACATTTCACTGTCGATAACGATATTAATCTAGCGCGGGAAACCACGTAACTGCTTTCCAATCTGTGGTAGAACTATCGAGTCATGAATCTAAAGTACGATCTCTGAGTCGTGGTAGATAACAAATGCAATTCTCCTAGTTCAACTTGCGAAACGGTTAAGAGGATTTAATAACGCTTCAAATGCAATTCGCGCTTTTGTGGGAGGCACTGTTGCGTTAGTTTAATCAATTGTGAAAAGCGCCCATGAAATTGTTAATAAATCTTTCATGTGGCCGGAAAAATCGCGCGCGTGGTAATGCATAAAAATTTAATTCGAAACAAGGGACGCGATGCGTAATTTAGTATATAATTGTATAATTAAACACATCTCAGCATCTAGTATAATTAAATAACTAACAAGGTCCATGTCGAATGTGTGTACGTACGTGTAACTCGCACCAGATAATTTATTACACGTACAACGTATTAATTTATACTCAACTATGTGCAGTTGAAAGTTTAATGGAAAATTTAATTCGTCTCTTATTTTAATAACGGATTTTATGAGAATAATACAAAAGAAGAAAGTGGGAAAATATTATCTGGAGAACATTCACGTGTATGTCTTTCCCCGAGTTACTTTCTCTAGTTTACTTAAAAATTAAGCACTTGCACAATATTTAAAGTACGTTTATTTAATTTGAAAGACAAAGAGAATTATCGAGGCTTTAAATTCGAAATATAAATATCATCCGTGCTCAAGAAGCACGTTCGCTTGTTAAATTAAACACAGCATGCTACAGCGTACGTGAGAAATGAGAACAATTTCGATCGTTAACCCTCATTAAAAATTTATCTACATAAAATTATTCTACGCACATCGAAAAAAATATGTTTTTCTAAAAATTTATTTTATTTTTTTTAAATATATTTTAATAAGTATAGTACAATAAACACAATTTATTTTGCATAAATTAGAAATAAAAAAAATTAAATATCAGTATAAATTAAATATCAATAACAAATCATAAAAAATGAAGCTTAAAATAAAAATTTCTAACATTTGTTCTTTTATATCGATTTATTCATCTGTAAGTAAGAGATGTTGGTGATTTATCTTTACAATGATACGTATATTCTTTCTCAGACATAATTCATATATGAATATCTATAGACGTCACTCGATGTGATAATTATCGCTTCAGCAAACGTGAAAAACACGATCATCGATAAGAACCACGTTACTCGCGGTAACACCTCATGGATCATTCGCGTGACTTCAACTAGCGCATATCTATTCGCATTCTACATCGCCACTCGAGCAAAGTTGGCGAGATAGAACAGTCAAGTGAATGAATGGCGGATTCGAGAGGAAAAGCCGAGGAGGTGGAAAGAAGTAAAGGAAGAGAATTAGGAAGACAACCTCCATACAAAAGCGACGGATTCCATCAAGAGATGGAAGCGACGGATTCCATTGTTTTCCGACCCACTTCCAAGCGAAGGGAGATTAACAGAGCTATATGTATCCGCTGGCGGATTTTCCAGCGTTTGAGCTTCCAAGGCGACGATGATGAAGGTTATGACTGCAGCTGCATGATAGATAAACCACCGGTTCGAATGAGCGCATTCCTCCGGGCGACAGGCTGCGACGGCTCACTATCTCGTTTGTTAAATTGTGTCGGTTACCACATTGTATCTATCCTTGCATCTCAAAATTACGGATATGTGACTGTTGTAAATATTTTCATCAAATCGGTATTTTAATGAATCATCTGCTTAAAATACTGCATATTATATACACACTGAAAAAAACGATTGGCTGCAGCAACCATATAAAAATGCTATGCCATATTTTACTATCTAAATTGTTACAGCAACTAATCTTTTTTTTTTTTTCAGTGCAGAAAGAACAATTTTGCTGAAGTATCTGAAAATTTAAATATATACAGATCTGAAAATGATTTTGTTAGATCATCAAAATAATTATGTAGAACACTCAAACATAATGAGCAATGTTACAAAAAGTTTTGAACAATCAGCAAATATTTTAACGATTAGCTTGAGCGACTTACATAATCATTTTAACGGTCTAACAAAATTATTTTCAAATCTACATCTATAACTAAACTTTTAGATATTTTTATTACAAAATTATTTTTACCGTGTAGAGAATGGTTTATTGTATTAAGAGACTTTTTTTGCGGTTCATTAAAAAGCAGTTTTTATACGATCTTGTTAAGAAAAATCTAACAATTCCACAAGATAAGTGTATTCATTGTATGAATTTATAATTTTTTTATATTTTGGAAATTCATTTACCTATTTTATATAAAATGTTTATACAAAATATTTTAACGCTTCTTCGCAATCCGTTTCTAAGCATTCTCATTTAGATTTCTTATTTAACTCTAATTCTTCGCACGTTGTATTAAATCTTATTAAAGAAATCTGTATAAGGAAACTACATGTCACGTATTCATCAGACTATATTCCTTTGGATTATTACTTATTTCGATCGATGCAGCACGACCTTGCTGACCAGTTTTATTTCAAAACATATAATGAAATAAAAAAGTAGCTCGATGAATGGATTGCTTCGAAGGACGAACACTTTTTTATCGCGAAATCTACTTACTGTCAGAAAAGTGAGAAAAAGTTGTAGCTAATGGTGAAAAATATTTTGAATAAAATATGATTTAACATCTTCCTAAAATAAATGTTTTTTTTTTGGCAGAAAATCTCAAAACTAACTGGAACATTTAATATTAAACGCGATTGCATTGTTCTTCATGCGCTGTTCCATTCCATTCATCAAAGACGGGTAAATTAACGGCGATATTGTGTGCAGGACAGCTTTCAGAGAGAGGATGGATCGAGACGCATTGTGCGTTTCCGAATAACCAGAGAAATTAATAGCTCTACGAATTGCGTGCAATATCAAATAGTGCATTTTGCATCTACATCCTCGAAAATAATGTTCCAATGAATATCTTTACCTTCACTCTGTCTTTAGAAGTTTCTTGTTTTCGTAGTCGAACAAGAAAAATCTTTTTGATCATGATAATGGACGAAAGAGAAAAGATCTGGCGCGCGCTTTGTAACGAATTTTTTTTCTTTCCATTTTTTTATCTGTAAAAATTATGATTGCATGTTGTGCCCGCACTATTTTGTATTATGTCAATGTTGTTTATTCAATTGTAAATGTTGATTCTTAATTAAATATGTTAAAAATTGTTTTACTTATATTTGGACACACTGTTAAATTCATAACTTACTATTTATACCCAATTTGAATTTTTAATTTCTATACGTCATTGCTTCTTTTCAATACATTATTAATTTAATTAAAATATTAGACTTCAATAATTTAATTTTAAAGAATAAATTTGATTCAAATTTAGTTTATTATTTATTAAGTTTATATATTATGGACGTTGTTTACTTTGAACTAACTTTAAAAATGGTTTGATTTGTGGACACATTTTGTGGACACATAGAAGTTAGAAATAAAAAAATATTATCTAACTCAAAGAATTTAGTTATCATTTGATATTTCTTTGATATTTAATGATCTTCAAAAAAATGTATTGGCGTACGACACGATGGCACAGATGTGAGTAATAAAAAGTTACTAATTTAAGTTTAATAATTCACAATTTTGCAAATTTTTCAATATAAAGTCTATTGATTTTCCTATAAATAGTTAAGTAAATAGACAAGACGATATCAAACTTTCATACAGCGATTTTTTGCGAATCTCTCGGCTCTTTACCTTTTTGTTTTTAGAGCACTTCACTCAACGTCTTCACCTCACTCAACTTGAGCGAGTATATCGAGTATTTCCCTAGTGATTCAATACGAATTCGTCTTCTAAATTATATTTACGTACAAGTGACTCTCAACAGTTTTCTATCTTCGATAAAAGGAAAGCGAGTTTTATATTATTACATATATTATTTGAAAAATCCAAGCGCTGTTTTTATCGGAGAGAACCCTCTTCTGCATGTTGCGACATAATTTGATATTCATGACGTCGCAAAATGTCTTCTTTTCATATCATTCACTGTAATCTCAGCATTTCATCTCTCGTGTTCTTCGATATTTTTTCTCTTTCTCGTTCCCGTTCGATTTCGCGTCCCGTATTACTAACTGGCATGTCTAATTATCATCAGCGGTAGATGATACCGTTTCCTCCTTCTTTGTTCTCACACTCTTTCGTTTCATCTAGTATTTGCAATTAGTGGAAGATAATAATATTGGCAGCTTGGCGGTCGTTCCTGTTGACATTTGTCAAAAACAAACTGCGAAGGATGAAAATAAGCCAGCCGCGTTGCAATTAATAAGCATAGGGGAAAGTGGTACATCGGATTAATGCAATATGGATGCAAAGCGAAAGACTTCGCTGGCACCGATTGTATATAACGTGGAGATAACGAGGTGTCGATCAATATATCTCATCGCTCGACGAAAATGTAATTTCGAATATAGAATTTTAATGAATAACTTCGTTATGCAGATACAGTTAACAGTTATTTATTTATTGCGGAGTTTCAAAAGGCCACAGCATAATTAGATAGTAATTTTAAGCAATTCTTGTTAGAGAAAATAATATCATTTAGCAAGTAATGTGGTCGAATAAATTGCAATATCAGTAACATATATGACACTCTGTCGTCATTAGATAAATAATATTGACTAGAATCTATAGCTGATGCTATCTATAGCAATGCACTTTGATGTCATTAAACACATATTTTTCTGACAGTGTAATAGTAACATTTATCGCGCGAAGAATATTACGAACCACGTGAACTTTATAATTCTCAGAGAAAGTGTACACCATCGAATTTATCTTCCGCAGAGCAAACGATGCACTGGTTCGCCCAGATTGGTGGTGACGACTCTCTCTCTTTGACAGGTATGCTCGGGTTGAGCTCAACGTACTTCGATAACGATTGTGTGACTTGTGTGTGGTATCTATCTCTCTTTGCAACATTGAGAGAATCACCGTGTTTATTGCGTTGAACATCTAAAAGCGAGATTGCATCCCAATCCGTTGCATATTTGTATACGCAGAGATACCTCTGATCTTTCGAGATGATTGTTTATAAAGCGAAAAGTGATATACATATATGATTTGTTTTGTTACCCAAAGAATTCCATATGATTTTGGTGTTGCTAACGAAAGATTAACATATCCCAATACAATAATTTTAATATAATAATTTTGAAATTGAGATAATTTATATCTGTGTTATAACTAGAAAATGCTAAATAAATTTGTAAATAAATGCTAAAAATATCTAAATATATCTGTTTGTATTCGATTTTATGCGTGATTACAAAGAGTGTGACAAATCCTGATGTGAATTTTATCTGTATCTCGATTTGTACAAAGATCTAATTTAACTGTAGATCTAATTTAATTGTAAGCATGAGAATTGAACAATATCATCTCTAAATGTGAAAAAATATATATAAATTTATATAAATATGAATTATGGAATGTTATTTAACGACAAGCCGCAGAATATAATATTGCTATAGAATATAATATTTCCTACTCGCATTTATTGATATTGCTATAAGATATTGCTTTTGCTAGGCTATTTTTTAACAAAACTGCACTGAAAAAGTCTGGTTCCATTAATTGGAATTCTGGAATTCTGGTTGAAAATAAATAAATCAGAATTTTCTTGTTGATTTTATAATTTTAGCTAAGATAACAAGAACTCTGATTGATATAATCAGAATCTTCTGATTCATTGATTTTCAATCAGAATTTTTCTTAATACAACGTTAAACGTTTTTATTTTTTGGACGGCACGTACTATTTCAAAAGATATATAAAAATCGAATTCATCCTGCAACGAATAACAACGCTAACGAGTTCTGTAATTTGACAATTGTGTAACGGAGTGCGTGTTCAACGAATAATGGTTAACGCTTTTCAATTTGAAAACTAATCTTCCGATACATTTATAAATTTAATAAATGATATTATAAAAAATTTATCGCTGCATATTAATATCGCAAAATATTGTTGCATTCGCGAGTGAATTTTGTTTAAATAATAAATTAATTATGAGTTCACTGTAAAAATGTTTTTTCTCTATGTCTTAAAAAATGTTAGATGAATATTGTTTATTTTTCAAGTAACATATTTTTACAAATCCTAATGTTATTTTTTTTTAATTAACATTTCTTTCTGAACTGTCAGTATGATTTAACAGGATTTGTACAGTGTTAAATAGAATATTAGTGAATACTGAATATTATAACATTTTCTGCATAATTTTAATCTTGATTCATTATTGATAATAAAATTGGTTGGTAAAATGTGACGTATTTTTTTCAACTATTTTCAGCTCGCCTTGAGAGCTTCTTAGCGAATGCAGCTTACATTTTTAATATTCAATGAAAATTAATTTTCTTTTCACATTATTTTATAACCCCGTTATTTTATCGTATTTATAAAACGTATATCTGAAGAGCAGATTTATTACACAGCCTTCTGATTATCTTTTCCAAAGAAATTATAAAACAGACGAAGATTACGGGATAAAAACATCGCTTAAAGAAAAAATGAGAGTTGTCATTTTATTTATTAAAATAGAGATATTTTTAAGGGGACCACTCACTTAGAAGCTTACAAGAGAGTTAAGCAAAGAGAAGTCATAAAAAGACAATGTTTTAATTATTCTTGATATAAACATTAAAAGAACTAGAATGATCTTTTATTTTCTACTCCTTAGTTTTTAATTCCTAATTATTTCATTAATGTGAAATTTTGTATTTATGTATCAAAAGTTACCAGATACCTATCGATACTAACATCATCACGATTTATTACTTTTCTTCATTGCAACATCTGTCCACAATTTTGCATTAACACGAGCACTCACATGCATGCAAATTCATTTTAACCGCGCGAGTACACATATACTATATCACTATACACAACATATCTTAATAACCATTTATTCATTCATTCATTCATACATTCATTCGTGCGCTGTAATCTTATTAATACTTGAATCTTACGTATACACGCACATGTCTCGCTTTCTTCTTGGCAGATGTGAAGCGCCCGCGAAGTCTCTACGACGAGGACTCTCTCGATGGCGATCGTCCTTACGACAATGAAGGTACCAACGTTTTCAAGGGCACTGTACAGACCATTTCCTTCTTTTTTCTCAGTAAATTCTTTCTTTTTCGATAATATTAATAAGATATAATAACGCTTTTTAATGCTAACATTCATAACAGTCAACGAATAACGATGACAGTTATTACTCATGTTAATTTTGCGTCTATATCTATATGTTAACCTAATAATAAAAACTCATTCGTATTGAACATTATCTCTAATCGCGTCATGTATTTTTATTACTACCATATTCTCTGATTAAATATTTCGTTTGTAAATAGCTATTTTTTATTACTATCTTATTGTATTTTATATATGCATATATATATATATATTCTCTATCTATTTTTTAATGAGATAAGATTAGCATATTCCTTTGATCATTCCTACACACACACACACACACACA